TGGATCGAAACCATCCTCTGCTATGTTTTTAACTTTGTTCATAGAGTAAGTAGCGCCTCTGATTCCGTGAGTTATCCAACTCTACCCTTCATTTTTGTAATGTACAGTGTTACACTGCTTTATTATGTGACCTGAATAGAAACATTGTCACAGTTAATGGCCAAAAACAAGAACAAAGACGCACAAAGATACATACTTATATTAATATATACCTACTGTAAATATATATATTAATACAATTAAGTGAAAAAAATGTGTTGTCCCTTTTCTATAGTTTAGTAAACTGACGACCCCTGCTTAATTTATGGATATTTCATATTATATTTGAAACTGTACAATTAACTAAAATCTAAATTTTGAGCACATTAATTCCTGTTTAGGGAACTATCATTTTTAACAATTACACATACTTACTAGGCTTCTTTTTTGACAAATTCTGTGTTTTCTTGTCCCTGACGATTGGCCATGTTTTTATTATTGATAGTTTACTTAAAAATTGACTTTACCTTTTTTTTCTTCACAGAAGTGAGGCAAATGCTGAGATATAGACCTACTGTGTATATTCTTTCCATTTTCTAGCACACCTTAAAATCAATAAGGCCTTGCGACCCCCTATGAAACTTCAGTTTGTACTGATGTACAGTATATACAGCAGGCAGGACTTATATTGGGCAATGGTGATATCCGACAGATGATGTAGATAACATTGTGGGTTTTTAGAATGTTAATAAGTCATTTAAGGTTTGTATGTATCTGCTGAAAGGCCTGTGCAGGACAGAGCAGTCAACAACAGATGTAGTTTACTTGAAAACACCGTACACTGGTCTGCATATTTCTGGTATTCAGCAAGAAACAAGTTGCAACTTAGTTTTTATTTACAGAAAAGTAAAGACAAAATAATAAACACTGGACTAAATGATACGTAGTTACTGACAATACAATCGTGGGAGGTAAAAACAACAGTCAGTCAAAATCCACTCGTCTGCTCTTCTTGATAGCTGCATGGATCTTCTTCTGGTTGAGTCGCTCCTTGTTCCTCTTCTCTAACCTGCACAACACATTTCACATCAAAGACACAAATGACACATTTGTAACGAAGGTGGATGCAGATCCACATAATGTGCTCTGCTGCTGGGTGGTACCTTTGTTCCCTGAGAGCTACGTCCTCTGCTGTTGGTTCATGTGGCTTCTCGCTGGCCTCCGCTATGATGGCAGAAATCTTCTGGATGCAATCAGAAAGGTTTCTCTGCTGACTCCTGCTCAGCTCTGAGGTCACCAGCAGCTCGCCGGCCTTATTGATGCGGTTTTTGTTCTGTGCCACGAAGCAGAAAATTGGTACAGTTGGTCTTACAGTTTCAGAATGACACGGATAAAAAAAAAAATCAGCAAATCTGGAGGTCACTCTGATACTTATTGCACTGCTTTACTGTTGACCATCCCTTGGGAGAAAATAGGAAAAGAAAAACTCTGATGGAAGTTTAATATCCACAAACCTTTTCGAAAATCTTCCGTCGAACATCTTTTGGGATCCAGTCTGCTGTTTGCACATGGAACCGGACTTCTGTTTTTGTGCTGACTGTGGATTGAGAGGTCATTACTCAGAGGAATATATAGAGCAGGTTCAAGATTGAAGGCCTTGTGCTGCTTTACTTTTCCCTTTGGCACATGCGCTCTTTTCTACCAAGGATTGCTCACCTTTATTGACGTGCTGACCACCAGGACCACCGCTTCGGCTGTAAGATACTGTCAGACGCTCTAAGAGCCAGGAGGAGAGCAAAAACACAGTTCAACAATACATAAAGACTGACTGTATTATTCTGCTTTAGTGGATATATATATATATGTGTATGTTTACCTACTGGGATGTGCACTTGAGCGTCCTGAAAAAACAAAAACAAAAAAAATCTATTGCTTCACTGAGCACCTAGAAGTCCATTGCACTTTTAGAGACATCATCAGACTATGATACAGGACATTCACACTGTTTTAGGAATTTCAGTGTATTGATTTGTTCTGGGCTCGGTTGCCATCTCTTCTCTTTTTCATAGAGAGAATGTCACAGCAAACTCCATTCACAAATCTGCCCACAGCAATGACCTCTGGAGTGCAGAGAGGGGAAACAGCTCAGTACTGCTGCTCGCATCTAAAGTCAGCACATCCGCAGGTATCGTTTTCACCCTGCATTATCTGTTACTGCTGTGTCCCTCTGTCCTAACCCGGGACATGTTGGCCCTGGACTTTGTGTGGCTGTGGTGTGAAATATGGCACTGGTAATACACTGGCTGCTTATCTGGTTTACCCATAATACTCTAGTGTGATGTATTTATTTTTATTTATTTTTTAATTGTACCTGAATGAGGCCAGAGTTAAGACCAGTTGACAAACATAGACATTTGTTGGTGTTATTTAACTAACCTGTATGGTGTCTGGTCCTCGTGTCCCGTAACCAACGCTTTGCTGTAAAGTGTTATTAATGTCTCTAATGAAAACGCCTCTTGTTTGTACATACTGCGGTATCACGTTTACTCCTGCGCTGCGACAAAGTAAATAAGAATATCGTGCTACGTGTGCCGCCATGTTGGACTGACGTCGCTAACGTCCCACGTGACGTAGCTGCTGTCTCCAGGCGACGCTTGATATCTTTGCTTGGCCGCTGGTCATCACGCTGCATGCAACTGATACACACGGTACTTTACATTAGCTTTGTCTTTAAAGTTCAGAATAAAATAAATTCAGGTTCCACCGAGATTTGAACTCGGATCGCTGGATTCAGAGTCCAGAGTGCTAACCATTACACCATGGAACC